AATAAGAGTACAAGCCTATAACTCAGATTATAACGTTATATACTTTTATTATTTTTGAAGTTTCGCTCATAAATTCTCTATCATCATTACATTGTAATAAATTAGACCAGATAAGAGGGATATCCGGGTTGTTATAAATTTTCTTAAAGGCTTTAGCAACTTCAGAACTATTCTTCGATATTAGAGGAATAGCATATTTAAAACATGATATGATATCTATAACAGTAAATGCCTATTTGTATGTCTTTCTATTAACTGTATCATTTGTAAGGCGTAGCAAATTATACATATGTATAATTCAGGCGAGTGATTTTGCTATAACTAATCCATAAAGAATCTTTTGATGATAGAGTGAGTTTTTGCTATTCATTCTGGTTTGTAAGCCACTCATATACCTTTTTATATAGGAACTGATACTTCTCTGCTTTAAGATCTTTTTATAGTTTTTGAGGGTTGGAATGATACCTGTTGGTTTATAGAATAATAACTAGCAAACTAGGGCTAATTCCTTATCAGTACTAATTATGATACTAGATTGGTTCATTTTGATACATTTTACTATATTAATAAATTATTATTTGGTAAAGTTTCCAGAAGTGTCGATATATTATAGACTTGTACAATGCCATCAGATACAATAGTATCTCCACCTAGTGAAACTATCAAAAAATTCGAAGCTAGTTTGCAGATAATAAAAAATTAATTTTGTAAATTACAATGAGATTTAGACTTAAAAAAAGGTTATATTAAATATCTCAAAAATGAAATTTTGATTTGAGATGGAAAACTAGATCTATTACGGCAGGAAATTTCTAATATTAAAGAACAGTTGGAAAAAATACTTCGAGATTCTGAAAGCTGAGAAAATAATATAGACTATTTAGAAAAGCAGTTAGGATGAAATTGATAAGCTTAATAAAAAAATACTTATTTTGTGTAAAAATTCTAATGATACTATAGATATAGCATAACAACTAGAAACACCTTAATTATCTCTACCAGAAAATCTAGAAACATAAAATTACATGAGAGGTTAATAGCATTAGAGAATATTTTCAAAGCTAATTACAATAGCATCTACATTAAATAGTATTAAAGATTATCTTAATACAATTATTGATGCCGGAGATAAGTTTGAAAAGTTGGTATTAAATATATATCCACAAATGAATGCTTGCGCAATTAATGCAGAAAATCAAGTAACAGATTTGCAAACCTAGTTAACGAATTTACAAACTCAGCTAGCTATATTTCAACAAGACTTAACCCATGAACAACAAAGATGATAT